TTCGATGGGCTGAATTGCACAAAACGCATGATCGCACCGGCTAGCCTGGTGCGAGTTGCCATTTATGTACTGTTGTTACGCAGCACAAAACGCATAAAAACAATTCGAAACGGCTAGGAACTTTTCAGGTGCCACAATTGCGACGACTGCTGTGCTGAGCTATTTTTTTCAGAAAAAATAAAAGTCAGGTTCGTCAGCAAGTTGGTCAACAAGAACTGCAGCATTTGTCAAAGCAACTGAAAAAATTGCCAGCAGCATAATCCGAGAGCCAGGGTACGAATTATAGCTGATCCAAATTTTCCAAACAAGTAATGTTGGACGCAAAAACTGATTAATTTTTTAAAAAAATGTAATTATATGCAAAAAATAAGAAAAGGAAATGCTATATTCAGGTAAATATTAGCAAAATTTCGAAAAGTTTTGTTCAAAAGCGACAGTTTTTTGGTAGAAAACTATGAAATTCACAATGCGCTCTTCGGCATTAATTAGCCCTCGTGCATTAATAGGACAGCAACTTTTTTTAAAGCCACCTGAATCTATCAATAAATGAAATAAGTACCTCATCAATGATTCATCGCAACTACCGGATAATTCCAATTTGAACGTCACCGGGAATGTTTTGAGGCGGGCCAGCTTTGAACTACCTTTTCTACAATCCATGAGCATTTTACAGAGATCTTCATCACTCAAACGTTCCGATTCCTGTAATAATTTTTATGAGAAAATGGATGGTTTCCAAAAATGTACCCAAGATTTTCACGGTTTGAAATATTTAAAAAGCTCTGTGCAAAGATATGGGTCGAGAGGTATTGTTAGTGACAACGAAGAGACGAAGCTGGAGTGGAGGGCCGAACTAGAACCAAAAATAATTTGGAGACTTTAGGAGACAGGGGAGGGGGGTGTGGAAAAGTTATATACGGTTAGTTAAAAGGGGGCGGGGGTGGAATAGCCTCGAATGGCGAATAGTAGGGGAAGAGGGGAAGCAAGGATTTGGAATGGAAGGACTGACCCTCTACTGCACAGAGATTCAGACTGTTCCAGAGATATTCCTGGTATTAATCTAATTTCTATTGGTTCTCAAACCCCTTGTCCCTTCCCCTCCCCTCGTTCACCACACCAATAAATAATCCATTTCTGATGACCACGTCAATTTTTGCATATCGTTTTCCAGTGCATACTAGTTAATCTATCCCATTTTTTTTTTCAGTTATCTGGAAATCTGCGAAAATTTTAAAGTTGGTAACCAAAAAACCCAAAAAGCGCCCAATGTTACAAGTCACGTGCGGCGATTTGCACTTGTATTAGCTGTATTTAATAGTCAGACTCATTTAGCTGTGTAGACTGCTGCTTATTCTGTTGTTTTAACCAATGCTGTGTCTCCCAATAATCAAAATACTGGCAGTTCTGTGGTTTGCCTCGTTGCTCAGAGGAGTTCCTAGCTCCAGCGGATCTGTCTGTAGAAGATATATGGCAAAGTCTTTAGCCCTTTTGAGGTATGTTTAATCATCCTCGAGTATCCAACAGCGGATCCAGGGCGACTTCATGCGGAGAGGGAAGAAGAGTGTATGGCTACTTCTTTCATGATATTAAATATACTCCTACTTCATGATATTAAATATCTTCTCTCCTTACTGCCTCTGTCTTTTCCTTTCACTTATCCTTCTAGCAAATTAGCTACATGTCCTTTCAATACATGGCGGGTAGGAGGCTGTACTGACGATTCCCACTCCTACCCGTATGCATAGTCCGGTCTGTATTTACAGCTAAGGGATGAAACGGAGAGACTGCATCGAAAAATATCACCCCACTACATCTGAAAGATAAAGGCAGTTTGCACCATAAAATAACACCTTATACATGGCCTGCGTACAATCCTGTTGGTCTATTATTTCTATCGCCAACGACTGGAGGGGGAGGGGGCGCGACCGGGGAAATGGAGGAGAGTTTTCTATAGTTTTAGCACAGCAATCTGTGCCGTTGCGATGAGGGAGGGGCCGAAAGACCCATCGTCCTTCCCTTGGATCCGCCTGTGTGAGCAGATTACTTCGTTCTGAATGTTCCCATTCCCAAATCACCACATAACTGGCTTTCTCGATCATGAATTTCAAAAATTCCTCCTCAAAAAAAGCTTCTGCTCATTGAAATTTCACAGCTTACCTGTCTGAAGAAAGAGTTGAGGTTCAGGACGAGGGATTGCAGCTCACTCAAACAGCCCACTGGTGTTATCAATCCGTTATCTTTCGCCAACAAATCCGTAACTTCCACATTCAGCCCGGCTGCTCTCGCATCGCCTTGCGAAACGCTATGATGTAGGCCACTGAACATTTTACGTTTGTGCAGCGGAGTGCGGCATTTTTGAGCGGCCGAATACGTTGTGCTGGCCGATCCCCCGCTTCCAACACGTCGAAATGTCCCGGTTGTAGAAGTTGATATTCGATCTGAGCAACAAAACAATGAAATCTAGATATGTTGGGGAAAAAACAACTCCTGGTGGGGTAGATTAAAGTCGCCAGCAAGCTGATCAATGTGTGAGGCAGCATTAGTCAAAGCAAAATTGGAAAAGTTGCCAGCTGCATAGATGAAGAAACAGACTAAGAATTATCAGTTTTTTTAGATAAGCCAGCACTTACTAGGGCAAAATGATGTGGCACTAATTCTCATTTTCAATTAAAATGTCAATTACTGGATCAAAAAAGTCCTCTTCGGCATGTTTTACTATAAAATGTTCTTCAAAAATGCTTCCATTGTCTCACAATCAATTTTGTTGAAAGTCCTTTTTTCCCTGTAGAATCAGCATCGCGACAAAATATTGAAAAATACGAAAAAACTGACTCGAATTAAGTAAAAATTGCCAGAAAAAACAACTCACCAACGCTAATGATACTTTCCACATCAAAAAACGGGGTCGGCGAAACTGGTGCTACATCCTGTCCTGAAATTACAAAAAAAAACAGCAACTGCTTTTGCTTGTACCATTTTTGGGTACTTTTGTCCGCACAGATTCTAGTTTATATACGCTTTACGTATTTATGCATGTATTTATGTATGTATATATGTATGTATGTATGTATATATGTATGTATGTATGTATGTATGTATATATGTATGTATATATGTATGTATATATATATGTATATATGTATGTATATATGTATGTATATATGTATGTATATATGTATGTATATATGTA